TTTCATTGTATTTTATGAAGTAGAGGAAAAAGATGAGGAAATAAAAATATTGTAAAGATTCTTCAAAGAAACAATATTCGGAGACACCTCGAGCCTTAGCGACGTAAAGAAACGCCTGAAATTTCAACGATCAACCTTTAAAACCGTGTCGACGTTTAATTATTTAGGAATCCAGTGCAACAATTCATCGTGTTTGCGATGTTTCACTCGGCAAGTTTATTCGTCGCGAATATCCGCTGGATTCTTATCACGTTGTTCGCGATCGTTCAACGACAGCGGGAGGAGAGTGCGGCCGGAAGAAGAGCGCAAAATCAGCTTTTGTATGCGGATTGCGGAACCGCAAGAAACGTCAATTCACTCTTCTCGGCTCTCTCTCCCGTGTACATACGCGCCTTGGTCTCCATGTGTATGTATGCGCGCTTGATCCTTAGATTTTCTCGTAAAACCAGCGACAGAGTGAGCCTCGACCAATGGCGGTGGAAGCATGGCGCTCGAGGTGTGAATTATACATGAGGATATATCCCTACACAGTCCTCTCTGCCGTGTATCCCTTCCTTGCGCTCCGTTGTCTTTCTTGCTCTCTCACGTATATATTCACCGCGACCACCATTCATCCGACCAGGAACCACTTCTTGTTTGCCCGATCTTCTCACGCCCGCCAGTAACATGTCGATCTCAAAACGATAATCATATTTCGAATTTAAAAAAAAAGACTTTGATCTGAACAATAAATCGGTTTATATGCGTAAAAAATTTTTTATTATTTAGATTTCTTTTAAACTAAACTCACTTTAAATGATTTCATTTATTTGCTACAACATTCAAAAAATTGTCACGTTTTAATGTTTGTAAAACAAAAGCGAAAACATAAAAGGGAAAGAACATACTTTTATTTCACTTTATAATCAATTATTGTATCAAAATTACATTATAAAAGTAATATTCCAAAATTTTTATAATTTGAAATATGTATTTATTTATTTTCTAAAAAACTTTGTTTTTTGAGCTGTGTCGTTATAACAAATGAGCAATTTATAATTATGATAGATCTATAATCTACAATTTCTGTCGGAGTTCAAAATAAAATTCTATTTAATTTCATGTGCCGTATAATTGAAGAAAAATATTTGAAAAAACAGAATACGCGCGTGTATAAAATATACATTAAAATGTTATACATATACGTATCAAAACACACGACATGTAAAATTATAAATAAAATCTGAAACGAAATCTGATCTGTGTGTCCCGAAATCTGACACGAATTATATACCGTTCAAAATGAATTCACAAAGCAGATGATGTCCGTTAAAATTATGATAGTTTCATTTTTTATAATACATTTAAAATATTCTCTTTTATGATAATGATTTTTCTATCGTTTAGTCTTTTTATGTTCACTAAATTCACTGATCACCATTAATTCAACTAGATATTGCTTCTTATTTCAATTGTCACGTGAATGATATTTCAATCTCACATAGAACGATAATGTAAAATTCGTTTATTTACGAGATTATCATCCGAATTTTATTAAAGATATTGTATTATTAACTTTTTTCGAAACACAAATAATATCTCTTAATATATAATAATTTCTTAATCTCTAGTATATTTTTGATGTTTCTTTTATGATAATTATTATTTTTTTTACTTTTGTAAACAATATTATTTCTCGTTACACAATAGAATGAAGAGATACATAATTTATAAAATTCTTTAAAAACAATTGCTTACAAAAATTATCCTTGCAATTAAATCACTGATTTATATTTTCATTTTTATGTTTAATCTTATTCTTTTAACTTCTAATCCTTCAACCGTCTTTAGTACGAAATCTTTTCTTTTCTTCGACCAGAAATGCCAGTAACACAAAATGATAATTAAAAAATAATTCTCACAAATCACTGATTATTTCATTTTTATCCTTAATCTTATCTTTCAGCACATCTAATCTTTCAACTATTTGCCTACGAAATCTTTTCTTCTCTTCGATCAAGAATACCAATAATAATCTGATAATTAAGCAAAATCTGTTTTCTGCATATAATATGTGTTACAAAGCAAATGTAATCATCTCGGATGGAGCAGCTCATCTTCAAGTATCGACTTGCTGGAGTACGTTTTATATACACGCATCGCGGGCAGATCACGGTATCGACGTATCGTGTCGACGTACACGAAGAAAGAGCGAGTGTGGCTGTGTGGAACAGAGGAAGGGAGTCAAGCACATAACATCCCCACGGTACGGACCGTACGGGGTTAATCGGGCGATGCCAGTTCATTAGTTGCACACATAGGTGTATGCAACGTATAGCGCGCGGCTGCTACATGTGAGACCGCTCGGTGTGACACTAATGGAACTAAACGATATCCGGAAATGGCGCGCCATGTGAGTTAGTTTCATTCGATTTCATGAGCACAGCTTGGTCGTTTTCAGCGAGCGCGCGAATGTCCACGATGCACTGGCAGCCAAACGCGGCCATCGAGGTTTTTATTCCAATTCCGTGCGTCGCCCAAATCGTCCGTATTTAAATAAACGAATGAGCGAAGCGTTTATTGACAGAACAAGCTCTCGAATATGGTAGCAGGGAACGATAATAGCGGACGAAAAATATCCTCTTACGTGAGGTTTACATACGCAAATAAGAAAATGTTTTAACGCGAAGTAAAATATCTAAGAAATCAAATAAAATATCTAAAATAACAAGAAAATTAATATTCTTGAAATTTTATTTTCTATTTAATGCGACGATAATTATTTTTCAGTAGTAATACTGTATATAATATCCAAGGACCTGTCCATCACAATACTAAATTTAATTATAAGTCTGACCAAAATTCACGATTCTAATTAACTTTTTCAATTATGTTGTAAAAAAGTTGTTTACAACAAACGTTTTTCACAATCCTATACATAATATTAAGTTCCATAATATCATTCCTCTAATTTTCAATTTTAAAGTGAAAAAAAATCATTTATTTTCATTAACTGCAAGCAAAGATATATTACTTTAGAATACACTGGACACGCAAATATCAGTACAGGAAATCTTGGAGTGATTAGAGTTAACGCTAAATGCATTTAATACTGCTATAGAAATATTTACCGAACATCTCTTAAAAGTAAATCAAACACACTTAGCAGCGAAAGACGCAAGTAACATTGCGCTTGTCTCCGCCGACGGCTCTTTCACGATTAGAATAATTAATCGCAAAGCTAATTACGCAGAGTTAATTACGCGAAGCGGCGAGGCGTATTATTATTATACTGAGATTTAATGGGCTACGACTGCCTGATCGTTCTTGAAATCGGTGTACCTGGTCGCGCAATTAGGCGAGCCACGTATATCGCACACGTTGCACGTGGCCTCGCTCGTACGGTACTCGAGCGGTAGGCGATTTTACATCCGACAAAACCGAGCATTAGTCTCTATCAACCTGTCCCGAATGGAGCCGTGAGAGAATCGGCGGCGACGGCGACCGTTTCTCCGCAACGGAACTGCAGAATTCGCTCGACGCACGGTGCCGAGGGACTCGTACTTCGTTAGAACGACAATTAGTGCCCTAATAACGTCATTAAGCACAATATATATATATTCACCGCGTACCACCTTCCCGCGTCTTGCACGCGCCTAACTGCCCGATTATGCCGGCCCGTTATCGGCGTGATTATCTCTCACGGTGGGAGTCATCCCGAGAATCACTATTCCTTTCAAGAGACTTCCTCGTCGACCTAATTATCCGGAAGTCGCGTATAAATCTATATAATCAGACTTGAAACTCAACTCGCGCGAAGATCGTGAAAAGATCGTGAAAACTATGACGATATATGCGAATTAGAATGCATGCAATTGTACAGAACGACAAAAAGTCTGGCCATGAAGTTTTGCGTTCAAATCATTAGTCACGTATATTGACATAAGAAATCTGGAGAGTATTATATCTTATTAAGTTATACCTTATTAAAAAAATACTGGAAATAATAATAAACATTTGACTGGATGAAATTACTTTTAACTTCGATGGTTTAACAAATTTTAAGGCGCTTTAGGATATCAATGATCTTTCCATGGATAAATTTAAGAACAGTCTTTAATTTATCAATCGACGAAAATCTTGTAATGCCGAGTCTTTTGGAAATTTAACAAGATGTAAGTAAATCATTGATGCTCCTACATCAAATTCCTCGACAGGTATTAGGAATCATATAATTTAATTTAGAACTGAACGCGCAAAGAATCGAGCGCAAAATAAGTGGTATATAGAAATCATGATGACGCAAAAGAGAAAGCTAATAATAAATACAATTTATTAACACGGCATGTTGACCATCAATAATAAAATCGTCTTATTTTTGTTGGCGCTAACGAATTTCCTGGTTTAATTACGGTTTAGATTAGCACGTTTGCGCGGATTAGCTCGAACTACTATTGCGCCGAGGAGATCATTAAGCACGGGATTAAACACCGTGTGCCGTCTCTAATGCTCACGGCGCAGCCTCTCGATTGTAATACAACGCGAGCACATCCGCCTATCATCGCGTATGCAAATCTGCCTGCATATGACATGCCTGATGCGATTATCGAGAGCGAGGATTCTGGATCACAAGGAATCGAATTATGCGCTTCGATGCGCGCTATAATTGATATGCAATTGATTTGCGCGCACGGTAAATCGCGTCGGCGCGAAAAGAAGGTAAATAATTACGTCTCGTTGCAATTGTAAATCTATCGAAATTGCGAAACGTAAAAATGTACAAATTAAATCGTGATTAAATCGGTTTTGCGATTAAATTGCGGATACTGAAATACTGCAAATACAGATAATCGAGCAAGTCGGGCAGCGTGCAGTGCGATAATATATTTCAATTATTATTCCCGAGCATCCGCATGTCGAAATTACACTCGACAAATGTTGAAAATGTTTCCTCTCTCGAATTTTCCAATATAAAAAGAATTTCTTCCGATCATGCGGTTACGCGATACATCCGCGCTTACCTGCGAGTCCTTGAGACCAAGTTTTTCAGCGAGCTTCTTGCGATCTGGCTTGCTGATGTACTTTTGTATCTGGAACCTCTTCTCGAGTCCGCGTCGCTGAAGATCCGAGAAAACGGCTCTTCTCATCATCCCCCGGCGTGGCTTTCCGCGCGCGTTCGTCGCCCATGGAAAGACCAAGCCAGTTCCGGAAAAATCGCCGATGCTACCCTGGATGGTCCCCGGAAACACGGCACCTCCACCGGGCGTGCCAGGATGATGAGTTCCAGTTCCGGAACCAGCGACTTTTAACAAGAAATATAACGCGCTGATGTAAATTTTTATTACAGATTTACATTCAATGTTACTTGTATATTTCACGATCAGTTCGCTCGAGGAACTGAAGAAAAAGTGGCGTCAACATCAATAAAGAGAATTTATGGATACATTAAAGCAAAGCATATAATAAAGCTACATACGATGTAGTTCAATAAAGAAAATTTCTAAGATGATTATTTTTTATAGTGTGTGTTGTTATGCTATTGATTTCTTAATTTTTACAAGTTTTGCATTGCAAAAATTCTTAATAAAATTATATAAACTAGTTATGGACTCTTTATTGTTAAAAACAAATAAATAAAACATAAATTAAAGGCTATTAAGAGTCAAACGCAGTTAACAATGCGAAAAAAATTTTTTAATAATCTTACAAATTAACATTAAGATGCCCCGTCGAAATACGACGGGGCATCTTAATGTTAATTTGTAAGATTATTAAAAAATTTTTTTCGCATTGTTAACTGCGTTTGACTCTTAATAGCCTTTAATTTATGTTTTATTTATTTGCATTGCAATTAAAAAAAATTGTTTAACTTGTTACAATAAAAACGTAAAAATATTATAGAGATAGATTTTTCATCGTTCATTATTGACATGCTTTCGCTTTTTAGGAATTTCTTTGTGAAGTTTATACATACAATAAGATTTTTATAATCAAATATTGAATGAATTTATTACACCACAGAAAAAGTGTAAGTTAAACAATTAAAAATCACGCACTGTCAAATATTATATATCGTATTAAATAATTTTAATATTGAATATATATTCAACATTTTGAAAAATCATTATTATAAAGTTTTGCACAAGTACGCATTTTTTTCCGTCATTATAAATTTATCAATTTGAATCATTATTTTAAAATTTTTTAGTTTTTATTTGTATTTAGCGATTCAAAAACTTTTTTTGAATAAAAAATTAAGAATTATGTAAGATGTGCTGTTCTCGATTCAATAATTCAATTTTAAATAAAAATATAATATATTTAATAGCTTCTTAATCATAAAAATTTTATTAATCTTAATTTTTGTAATAATTCCTTTTAAAGATAAAAAATTTTAATACATAATATACTTCATTTTAAATGAAACAAATTTCTCAACATCCCGACATGTCCCTTAGCTATAAAAAGGCAGACATTTAAAAAAGCTTTTTTAATAATTTTAATATTAAAGATATTTTCTTGAAACAATAAATATTTCAAATCAGATTTGCATTGATCATAAAAAATTACGAGTTATCATAAATAAATTTTCTTGGATTAACAAAAAATTAATCTGTGTGATTAAAAAGAAAATCGAAGAAGAAAGCAATGCTATCGTATGTACGAAGAAGTCTATCCGACATCTACAAATAAAGAAGACATTTTAAAAAAACAGAAAAATATTTTTTTTTTTAATTAAAGTTTTTCTTTTTGTTTTGCTTCTCCTAAGAGTTTTCGGTTTACTGAAAAAATTAAGGAAATCTGTTTATAGGCGTGAAGAACATCTAACGAGGAAACGTATACGAAAGAGTGAAACGTGCATGCGAAAAAAATCATTGAAACATCGCGTTACTCGCGCACGGGGCAGAGCGCTTGATTCGCGTTCGATAGCGATTGTATCAAAGTCATCTAATAACAGATCGGGCAATTGAATCTCCAGATCGTGTCTGCGCGATATTGCCAAGCTGAGCATGATGGTATTATCTGCACCGATGATATTTGCACGCACTTGTTGCATGCGTGCATTTTGCCTTGTGGCGGAGCATGTACATAATATGGTAGTGCTTTCACTGCACTTCATATGCACTCCATGTCCCATACGAGCCTACCTATAACAAGATATTCGATAAACCCAGCGTGTGTGCGCGGCCCACGCGCACGTGGCCGCGCGCGCGCTCGTTGCCTGGCGCCATATGCGGAAGTTTCGGTTTAAACGTTCGTCGGGCCCGTGTTTCCGCGTCTCTCGTCCATCCGCGTTTGTTTATTAACTGCGCAGGTGAAGTATCGCGACTACAAAATAATAAATACGCGAAACTTGCGTATATCAATATACGATGAATATAATATTTATATACGCGAGGCGTCTGCACTGGAAAGAAGTCATTGCATTTATTGAAATTCTGGTAAATTCAACCAGAAAGGTACAAATTAGAGTGTACTTATAGTTAAAACTATCAAACATTTCTGGTCGAGTTAATGGAAATTCAATTACAATCATCAGAAATCGGATTCGTATGATCGGAATTAGTTTTGTTTATGCTTATTGTTGTACAATCAGAACATCTTTCTCAGTATGTGTGTGTGTGTGTGTGTGTGTGTGTCAATTTTAAAATACCATAATTATTAAAAAAAGTGGATGAATACGATGACAATAAATCGAGATTTAGTGCTGAGTGCATTATATATTGAAGTAATCGAGTTAGTATTAAAAACGTGAACGAATAAAATGTTTGCAGTTTGACGAAAATAAATGAAAGCAATTTTAAGCTTTCATCTGCAGTTACATGCAGTTAATGCTGAATTAAGCCTTTCACAACCAGCAAAATATATATGTATCAACATATCTGAAAAATCTCTGGTAAATATCGAATTATTAAAGTTATTCAAACAAAGCTCATTTTAAAGGAAATTGTTTTAAATATTAGTCAAAAAGTATCGTAATAAATACTATAGTAAAATTTTAAAAGGTACTTGCATAATCAAATCCAAAATTTTGTGGATTAACAAAAAAGAATTTAACATGATGTGCAATGTTATCTTTAGCGATTATTCAAATATGATTCTGATAAAATAAAAATTTCTGATGATGTTTATATTATATATAGAGAAAGAGATATATAAATAGAACTCTCTCAATAACAGAAAAATATAACAGTATTATTGATTAGAGAAATACATTCTGGACTTCGTAGTTATTATTAATACATCTACATAGTTTTATTTTTTCACATTCTTTGTTTTATTTAAATTAAATTTATATTCTTTATTTTAACAGTGTCTCAGTACAAAATTTTATTAGAATTCGATACTTTATTTTTCGCTATATTAGATAATTTCTAATGTTTATATTTCGATTTTATTTTTTTTCAAACATTCTAAATCTTTTTTAATATAATTAAATTAGATATGTACAGCTTTTCTTAAGAAAAATTGGAAAAGAAATGAATTGTGTGATTTTGTGTTGTCACGGTAGTTTTCAAATTATACGTTCTTACCTGTCAAATATGGACCTCTGTAGAATAGTTGTTGCAGTGTGTGATGAGCGTTCGGTGGTAAATGCCGTTGAGGAGGTTGATGACTCGGCCTGTGATAAGGATGATAAGCTGCCGGCCTCGCAATCGGCTTGGCGATATTATAACCAGCCGAATTTTGCAAATTTTGCAAGAAGGCGGGTATCGCTTCCGGCGGAAGCCCTTGAAAATTATCTGCACAGATAGAACAGTCCATGCTTCAAAATTTAATAAAACCCATTTCGCGCGCGCGGAAAGTTAACTTTTTAAATACTCCAACAAAATTCTTTCGTTCCTTCAATGTAAGATTCTTTCTCTTATTTATGTCATTTACTTATCGGTCCATTCTCCACTTATTATTGCACTTATTAATGCAATAAATATGCAGCGTGACTTCATCGATCGTAAAAATATTCATACTAACTGGCGCAAGAATTAGACGAATGTTTTCTGCGAAAATCTCGTTGCTTCCAGATATAGAGATACGTAAACCACTGAGCGATTAAATATGGAACGCGCCTCGGCTGTGTTTCACGGTAAAATGTGCCCGGGGTGGCGGATTTACGTGCGAGCGAATATCTAAGTCGCCGTATTCCTTCGTGTTGCATAATTCGAGCTGACACCCCCGAAACTAAAACCCTCCTTAACTGCTCCAGGCAGAGCCTGATCTCTTGTCGGCGCACGCTTCAACACCTCCAGCCGGGGTAAATAGCCAGACATTCGTGCGACCGACTGCCTCAAAGATTCTTATTTAATACATCGTAAAATACAGTGCGTTCGTGTAAACGTATCATCCGCGTATTATGCCCCTTTACGTTCTTTTACATGCAATTTTTCCAAGAATTCATATTTTTATAACGAGAATGATAGACTCAAGAGGAGTTGCATTGTTAAATGTGATTATAAGAATCCTATTAATATTTATGTATCTACTTTCAGAAATATACGTATTTCTATAGTACTGTGTATGAAATCGTTACTGCTGGAACTGTTTTTTCAAATAACTTCCATTTGATCTATAACGTAATCGGTACTGACGTATAACTTATTTTGATTGTATTATAGGTATACTAGATGGAGTAAAGTTGAAAAGAATTTTATGTTTGCTTGTATAAAGGAAATAATTCTGTTCAAAAATAAAATTTTGAATTAATCTTCAGTCTCTGAATAGCAAAATTTTTTCTTTATTTAATTTCAAGTCAGAATTATTCCGAAAAAATATTAATTTCATTAACATATTTAATGTTAAGAAAAAGTTTAATAACTATCATTTTCACTAAGAAATTGACGCAGAAAAAAGTTTAAAAGTCAGAAATGTATAAAATAAAATAAAAATTTCGTTGTATCATAATTGTTAATATATTAACTTGATAATTTAACAAGTTTCTCTTCTTTGTTTTTTTCTTCGACAATATTTCTTTTTATTTATATATTAATTTTTAATCTCGTTTTAATTTACTCTCTTTATCTTCTCCTAATAAAAACAATTTTTAAACTAGAAAAAAGTCAAACCGACATTAAATTTAACCTATTTGGTAAAAATGGACATATGTATAATTTGACAAAATCGCTCGATTAAATGTAAGAATTCGTCGTGCAAAGATACCTTCATATATACCTCAGCAAAAAAATTCATTGACAACACGAAAGTTAACTAGTGCTTTGACGCGTACCATCTCGAAAAGAAGAATATAAACATGAAAGAAGAGTTGGTCTGCTCTCCAGCTCTGCTCCCCGATGAGATTTCACCCTCCGCCAGGGCGAATTCGTCTACCTATTAATAATGCACCTAAGAGGGCCAGTAACCTCGACTGTGCGATTTCCAACATATTTTTTCACAACCCCGCCACGCCCAGAGAAGGGGGAGAAAGAGAGAGAACGATTTCGCTAAAAAAGTGACGTGTTTGAAAATAATAAAATAATAGAGATTCTAGGTTGAAGAGTGGAAAGAAAGAGAAAGAGGGAGAAAGAGAGAGAGAAACAAGAAAAAAAGAAGAGAAAAAGACCAGTGAGAAAGGAAGTGAGAAAGAGAGAGAGAGAGAGAACTCGCCTTGCAACCAGACAATGCCCTGACAATGGCCCATACACGGCGTCCTATTGTGCCATCGCGCTGTACCCCATAAAATACTCATCGCCTTTTATCGTTGTTTTCGTAGCCGGCCAATGAGAGAAGCGCACTGCTTAGCCGCAACGACGGTCTAATAACCGGGCTTAGCCTCCAACGGAAACACTGAATGGGAATAGTTTTTTAAGCCGCCCCACCTACCCTACATGACAGTCTCTTGGTCCCTTCGGTCTCCCTCTTACATCTCGCAGCTCTTACGCCACTACCGCCCTTTCTCTCTCGCGTCACGTGAGATTAAAACTCCTGTCTGCGGTTTCGAGAAATTCTAGGACAGCCCTCGCGTGTTGTTACAGTTGTGGAGCCCCCCCTCGTCCTCGTCCTTTTTTTTTGTGTGTCAGGCTTAAGCAGCCCCCTCACGGGCCTTAGGTTACGAGGTTTACAACATATATCGCTGGTTATTCTTTCGGATTACGGTCAGGGATGCATTATTAACTAGATACCGCGCGCGGCGAGCTGGCAGGTCTCCGCCTCGTAAATAGGGGGACTGCTCGTTTATGGAGCAGCACATACGATGGTGCCCCTTTCCTCCGCGGAGAAGCATGTTTGTCTTAGGATAGGCTTGGCGAACTGATTTTTCACGAAGATCTGAAACGTTCTCGAATCCTGAACGGTCGATCGACCGTGAAGGGAATAACGCAGATCCTCTCATTCATGATATTAAGTTTTATTATTTTTGGATACTACGAGCGCAACGCGCTTCCACTTTTGACATTTGATTAATTTTTAATTTGCTGACTCTACTCTTTCTCACTTTTGAACAAGAAATCGGGTTTGACTTTACAATTTTTAATCGTGGACTATTTCCTTTTCTATTACTTCACTGAGAAAAATGTCCGGGTGAAAATGAACGAACCAGAAGATTCTGATTATATATATCGCAATCAGAATTCCAATTATTACAACTGGAATTCTAGTTGAAAATTCGTCCGTTTTCAACCAGAATTCTACTTAATTCAACTTGACATTTTTCTTAGTGTTGGACTTTTTCGAGGACAGCGTTCTTTGTTTATCAATTGCTTTTATTTCAAATTTTAGTATATTACATTTATTATGTTTAACATAAATCTTGATCATTAGACGTTACTTTTGTGCTTCCTTTTGCATCTTTTACGTCTTTTCTCCATCCTATTTTCATTAATTAATTTATTATTCTTTACAACTGAGAATGACTGAATTAAGTATAATATTCCGGGATTCATTTTATGAATTTATGTAAATAAAATTTTGTCGATCTTTCACCTGCTTTTGCTCGTTCAGTTCTTTCTTTGTTCCTTTTATGGAATAATGCAGAATTTACGTAACATGATTCGATAATACGCTTATCTTCTCATTATCAGTCTAATTTTCATGACTCTTACATGTAATATGAACACACATGAATCTCGATTGATTCCTACGTTTACAATGACGATTTACAATGACGTTTATGACATTGACGTGTGTCTAAAAATTAATGCATCTCTCTAAATTACAGCTATAATATGCATTATACGTCATTTCTCCAATCTCTGTAATCTTATTTTATGATACGATAACACAATACGATAAGGCAAATGATGAATTTCAATCTTTTTCTTCTTTCGTTACAAATACAAAATATTTAATCAGTATACAATCTTGGCCATATATATAGGACCTATATAAGTATAACGCATCTTTATAATTTATTACCTTAAAAGAATGATAATAAAAATCAAAGAAAAACTAATAAAATATTAAAACTGTTGTAAAAATATAAACATTATTTTTCCATAACACTGTTTTTTAATTTATTGTTCGATAGATACAGAACGTTTACGTTAACTTTTAAAGATGTTTTATACTTATGGCCAAGGCCGTATTTAATAAAAGTTGATCCATAACGTGAATGTATCTTGTCGATGATTCTACATCAAAATTTCATCGATTTTCGCTAAATATAACTTGACAGATAAATATTTACCATGTCGGACTTTTAGTATTCTGATTCGGAATCATCTACAATTCTACACGGTCAATTTTTCCTCCTTCAAACTATCCTTTTTATTTAACTCTCTTATTAACCAACGAATAAAATGCGACGTTTTTCCACGGGAGATATACATATTAAAACCAGGTCCGTCGTGTTCGACACACAGTCGATATCGAAAAATATCAATAATCGTTGCGATACGCAACAAAAAACATGGGCCGCGAGTGGCGGCTCTCGCGTGGGAACGGGTGGCGGAGGACGGGGGGTGGACGCGATGAGGGAGGGAGGGAGGGAAGGAGAGAG